TCGTGAAATTCTAATGAGTGGTTTTCGAGTAATAGGCGTATTTCCGAGAGTGCAATTTTCATTCAATCGCAATTTTTTGACTTACTATGCATGTGCTACATTTAACTGAGTTCTTTCGGTAACAAAAAAAAAGCTGAGAATTGCTGGGTTCTTTGCATCGTTACCTTTTCTAACATATCTTTGTAATAAAAGACCAAAGCCATCAATACACTGGGTTCACTTAGACAGAGCAGGTGTTGAGTAAATAAAATGATCGCTGTATTGACGGCATGTTTGTTTTTTTGCAATCCTTGTGTGCGTGCTGAATTGCATCAGCAAAAGCGTGCGCTAAAACTGTGTTTGGCCACCTTAATCAAGTTTTTGACAACTCCAAACACAGATGTATCTGTAGGTAAGCCACACGCTCGATTTTTGGCTTCAATTTTGTGAAAAAAAGTGTGGCTTATACATGGACGTTTACAGTATATTTGAGCCCAGCCATGGCCAGGTTCACAGTGTCATGAGATTGGACAAGACTCTTACCCTAAAATGATTTACATTCAATAACTCACTGCTTTGACTTTTGTCAACTGCAATTTCCATTTTTCTTTCCAGGCTTGTGCAAAGTGGTTTAAAAAAAGAGCAGATGAGGAAAAGGAAAAAGAAAGGTAATGCCTGGAAAATATTATACAGTACTGGACAGAAGTAACCTACCTAGTAAGTTACCGTACCGTAAATTCAAAACTTAGTATTGTTTTTGCAAGTACAGAATCTATTAATGGCATTTCTTAATGCTGACTACCAGTGTCAGTCTTANATGCGTGGAAGTGACTGGCTGTAGACGTCACTGCAAACAGCTGTGCAGAGGAATGGAGATTCCTTGTAGATTGGTGTTTAGTTGTTTGAGTAAAGTGAAAATTAATCGCTTGAAAGAACTCTTGGGGAGCAAGATTCGCCCATAAAAACTCAAAGACACAAACTGCTCCTTTAGGAGCCACTACTCATGAAAAAGTCAATGAACAACAGCAACACGCTCTCAGTTTCTTTTATGTTTATTTCTTGACATCTTAAGATGTTTTATGAATATTAATTAAGTTTTTGACAACTCCAAACACAGATGTATCTGTAGATAAGCCGCACGCTCGATTTTTGGCTTCAATTTTGTGAAAAAAAGTGTGGCTTATACATGGATGTTTAAGGTATATTTGAGCCCAGCCATGGCCAGGTTCACAGTGTCATGTGATTGGACAAGACTCTTACCCTAAAATGATTTACGTTTAATAACTCACTGCTTTGACTTTTGTCAACTGAAACTTAATTTATGTCCATTTTTCTTTCCAGGCTTGTGCAAAGTGGTTTAAAAAAAGAGCAGATGAAGAAAAGGAAAAAGAAAGGTAATGCTTGGAAAATATTATATAGTATTGGACAGAAGTAACCTACCTAGTAAGTTACCGTACCGTAAATTCAAAACTTAGTATTGTTTTTGCAAGTACAGAATCTATTAATGGCATTTCTTAATGCTGACTACCAGTGTCAGTCTTATAAACAGAGAAAAACATCGATCTTGTCTTCCTTGCAAAGTTAAACTTGTTTCAAAAGGTCAATATTTATTATTAATAATGAAGATCATGTGAAAAATTCATCTAAATTTGGTCCAGTGCCAACAGTCCAATTCTATGTAAGCTAACATGTTAAAGACATCAATGAATCTGGAATATATAATGACTGGTGTTTAAAATGGTGGAACATTATTAATCAACATTCAGTTTTTTGCTTACTGCTGCCTAATTTCTCTATTCTCAAACAGTGGCAGTGTTGCTCGTGTGTTGCTATTCAACTTGACTGGCGATCGGGATCCTAATAGGCTTCTTAAACCAATTATGGTATGTGTTAGCTTCTTATTGACTCCAGTGTGAAGCAGGGAAAGAAATGTTTCATTATCACTTTCATCTCAGCTAAAAGTATATATCATCTCAGATATGGCAGGTCTCTGTGCTTCCCCAAATCAGCAAATGTTTTTACAGGCTGAGATGACTAGCCACACACCCAACCTCCAAATTAAACTAGAGGACCAGGGTCTTCTCAGTCAGGATTGATCTAACCCAGTGTCCTAAAAGAGATGGACTATGGTGATGAAACACCCAAAAGTATTGTTTCTAAACTGTACTGTGTTATTGAGATGAAGGTAATTAATGCCAGGACAAACTTAAAGTAGTTTTAAACTACAGTGAATTTGGAAAGTTTACATCTTCTATTCAATGGAGCCACCTATTTAAATACTGTGCCATTAATATAATTATTCAGCAACTCTGGTGTTTCATGTGACTGAAAATACTGCTTCCAGTGTTGCGATCAATGATAGACATTCTCAAAGTTTCTTTGCAATCTGATCTGTTTTTTTTTTTTTGTTCTGAATTTTTGGTGGCTTTTGTCTACCTTCATCAGAGTTGCAATGGTTATTGGTCAGGCTATTAACCCATTTGCTCTTGTTTATCGATTTTTTAAATCAATGGCAAGTAAGCGTGAGGGAGACTGTTTATCTTTTATTTCACTCCAACAAAGCACTGTACACTACATTACTACTGCACTTCATTGTAAGTAAACTTGAAAGTAGAGACCTGTTAATCAACTGAAACTAAAGCAAGTACATATAAGCAGGGTTGTTTTATTTTCCACAATACAATTTTATGCTCACATTATTTACAATATTTCTTATTTCAGAGGTGTAACTTTGACCATGCAGTTTTCTGTCCCAATGCTATTAACGAGAACCCGAAAAGCACTGATTCAGGTACTTATTATTTTCACAGGTCTCGTGTTCCTTATAGCTTAACATGCTTTTACTCACCTCCTGTTTATCAAGAATGGGAAGATGAAAAATACAGGCTGAAGTACAGCTATGCTGATCGATCATTTTATATTATAGATTTGACCAACTTTACTGTCACTCGTGATAGCCAGCTACGATGGTGTGTTGAAAATCAACGTGTTTGGATGGCTCTAAGAGGAGCTGGATTTCAAGCACATGCAAACCCATCACAGGATTGTACAGACAGTGACCATGTGATAAAAAATGGACATGATGATGGTCCATATTCCACTATATTTCCTTGTGTTTCTCAAGCTGTTCGGTGGTTGTTAGGAAGTAGGGATCCTCTTGTACCAGCATTTTTTCCTGACGACTTGCCGTTACCAGACTTCATTTCCAAGGCATCAAGGCTTCAGATTCTAATAGGAGGAAGTTTGCATCTTGTTGGCACGGTTATGAAAGTGCTGGGACCTGAAATTGTTGGAGATGTGTAGGGAAGGACATGCTACCTGTACAACACACACAGTACGTCATGTCAGAAATTTGTTTCACATCTCTGCACTGTACTGAAAGTAATTTGACATCAATCTTCTGTTAAACTACGTAATTAGCTTCATTGCCGACTTAAGATGCAGTTGTCAAGAGTAACCCTATGACAAAGCTAAAATTAACAAGTGTTATAATTGTTGTCACTTGTTAACTTCATGTAATTGGGACTCAATCAACTATTGTGAAGAGAGAAAGCGATCATGGTGCATTGTGATCCACAATTTGATGCTGGTTTACCTCATTGGGTGAAAATATTCTGTACTGATATGTATAATAACAATTTTACAGATATAAATATTCCTAAATTATTTTGTGATCTTATAGTTCAGAAGATCTAGGATCATTCTGGCAGTACTTGATTTTGGCAGCTATTATAATATTTATTTGTACCCTTCTTGAACAGTCACACAATTGGGTTTTTGAAGCTATGTACAACTTATAGTTATGTTATATATTGAAATGGGAGCTAAAAGAAACAGCTAAAAACAAAATATTCAAACCGAAATGGAAATAACTAAAGCAATGTGACAATTATAAGCTATATTTTGAACAGATGAAAATTTATCATTGTTCAGTAAGTTCATTCTTCGACTGGGGCTGTGATAAGAGCCACAGTCTCGATAGTGCTAACAATATATAGCAATTAGAATATTGAAACAGAAATGTCAGTATAGGTGAATGTCTTTAATTAATGCTTGTATTATTAATATAATCAGGTGTACATATTTTTATTGAGCCATATTTTGGAATAAAAAATTAAACATCAAAAATTTATTCTGATGCAAAAAAGTCATTTATGATTTGAAGAAACTCTCCTTATGGCCTTAAGCGTATGTCAGCTTGACTTCATGCATAACCTCAGTCTGTCATAAAAAAAAACTCTGGTTCATATAATTCTCAGACTGGCAAAAATAGGATGTACGTGTGGTCGGGAAAGCTACTTGTTTTCCATAGTCTATAAATAAGCAGACAACATCTTGCTGACCAAACAAATTTTCAGGGTTGAACTGACATTTCCTGTGGCTATGTACCCAATTTGCCAAACCCAGGGTTGCCACAGGTCAGGAAACAGTCAGGGGAAAATTGACATTTTGCAGAAAAGTTGGGGGAAATTTCAATAATTTTACATGGAGGGCTTGAAGGCTGGAAGAAACAGTTGAGGTCACTGTGATCTCAATGGTGTTTTTCCTTAATGAAGTAGGAAAATATGTTACATGTTTGTTTTTTGTCAGGAAAATTCTATTTTTATCAGGGAAGAGTCAGATAAAAGTCAGGAAATTTTGAAAAGTGACATCTGTGGTTACCACGAAACCTTGTAAGGTAGACACTAAATACCCAAGGAGCAAGCACTGTTCTGAGAAAACAACAACAGTAAACTACTCAAATTATGCTTTTGTTAATTTATTCCAAAATACAACTAGCAATTTTACACCAAAGTTTACCAAGCTAATTTTCTTTTAAGATTTGCCTGAAGTGAATTATAATCATTATGAACTTGCCAGCAAGTAAGTCAGAGCTATCAATGTCCTAGCTAGCTACACTTTGAACCTTGCAGCACTTCCTACTGCATTAAAACTACTCTTACTTTTATGCTGTAATACATGAGCAGGGAGTTCTTGTTTATAATTTGTTTCTCTGCTAACCTGGTTTTATTATTGGAGCCTGAACATGGTGCTAATGGACACCTGTACTATTTATGTTTTTTTTTAATGTGCCAAAATGGCTTCTTTAAACCTCGACTTTCGTTACTAACATGATTAATTAGTAATTGTTAGACCTTGTATCATACAAATCAGGATATAAACATTCTTGATACCTCAGTCCAGTTACTAATGAAGCTATTTTAGAGGACCAGCCATCAATATGGTTTGCAAGAATTTTGTACTAAAGCATTCTGAGGTATTTCTGTAATAATATACAACACAACTTATTTGGATAATGAATGGATATTGAACAAGTCTAACAGTTATTTTTATGCTGAAATGAAATAGTTACAAAACGGTTGCAATACGTTACACAACATTTATAGTAGGGTAAAGGCATTTTTGAAGTGTTACTCGTAGAAAAAAGGCATTGTCAAAATTAAATGATGAAGTAAATTACAACTACCAGAAACATTTTTAAAAGTCAGTGACACATTTGTTGCGAGCTTCTGGAGTCTAAACCCTATAGGGAGAACTTGAAAAAAATGTAATGTAATGGTCTTCATCATAAAAGTAGAATTAAAAAAATCCATTTGAACCTAAAATTTAAAAAAGGGCCAAAAAAGGTACAAATACACGCAATAAATCCTAAGGAGGAACAAAGAAATAGCTTAAAATGGAGAGGAGAGGATTATGTGTAACTTATGTTTGAGTCACTGATGCCTTTCTCCAGCAATATTTTTCTTTCTTTTGTTTTTCTTAGTTCTGATATGAATGAATTTTTTTTAGTGTTATGCCTTTTCTCCAATTCCAAATCAGCTTTTCTTGTTGACTGGATGTTGACTGGACTCTAGACTCAGTTGACTGGAAAGTGACATAAGTACTTGAGCTGCTGCATTATCATTCCACGGCTGTATCTCAGGAGAAACTGCAATTCCTGTTCAAAAATTACAACATTGAGTTGGTTTTTTTTTTACAGATCCCTCAATTGTACTGCAATTGTTTTGACAACACCTACTATTAGTTTAGTACAAATAGCTCACAGATGCTCATCCACCAATCAATCTTTCGGTTGGCTGGACATTTAGACAAGTTAGACACACAGTCAGACACACAGTTAGACAAGTTAGACACACAATCAGGTACACATGTTTTGCTCATTCTTACTGAATTTGACACATTCAGAGAGCTAATTGAGTCAGTCCATCATTGAGTTGGTCTGTCAGTGAGTGAGGGAGTGAGTTAGTGGATAGGAGAGTGAGTCAGTGATTCAGTCAGACAGAAAGCTAGTCATGTGGACAATGAGAAACTTCATCCACTTGTTTGCAAAACAGTCAAGTCAGTCAAGGATTCAGCAGGTTAGTCAAGCAGTTGATCATTCAAACAGCCAGTACATAAGTCAGGGAAAAACTTAACAATGTTCAGCAGTTGTGTCTTAAGTTTGGTCAAGTGTAAAATCGGCCCCATCAGTAAGTCTTTCATTGTTGTAGCATAAGCTAGGGGCAGGAGATCTGTGCAAGATGAATTATTTTACTTCTAATTTAAACTGATGATTTGTTGGCCGCACCAAAAGAGGGTTGCAAGACCCTATACATAGACAGAAACCTCCAGTAATCTAGAACCATGCATGTCCAAATGGGAGTCAATAAACAGGGAGTAATTGCCCTTTGTACCTGGATAGAATGGGAAGATGCCTTGATATGGAACAAAGTTTCCCTGTTGTGCCATGTTGACCAATGTTTCAAGGGTAGCCAACAGGTCAAAGTCACGTGTCTCCAGCAGAGTGTGCAGAAATATTTGAGAGACATGAGGAAATAGTGTGGAGAGAATCCATGAACATCTTGCAATCCTGCTGGGGTCTGGGGAGCTCATAGGCGACGAAAAAGCGCTCGAGTTAGGTTCAGCTGAAAGAGGTGGAGATTACCATTTTAGATAAACATGTTATGAACTGAAAAGGTTTCATTTGTGATTATGTTTCTCTTTATCTTTAAAAAGTTGTGTATTTAGAAGGGTCTGAAGGGCCTTCACCACACAATGCAGTTTCCTTCCCACAACAAAGATTAAGGATCAAACATTACAATGAGCTTTAATTTGTTTCAAATCACACAAGTGCTTCTGATTCTACTTCGAATTGATTCGACCCGTTTCTACGTACAAAGGTTATGCCATGGGTTTGGAATCGAAGTCCAGTGAAGAAATATTGGATTCGAAAAGAACTTTGCTATTCGATCTGTATGTTTCTGTGGTAGCTACATAGCTCATGTATTACAAAAGAACATTTTTTTATACTATACCGCAACATTTTAGCGCTCTTATTTCTAACGTGAATCGTTTAATAAGTTGATTAACTTAGCAAAATGCAAAGAGAGACTGAGTTCCTCCATGTTTGTACATGCCTCGAGGGTCCTAAATATGCTAAACTTGTTTTATATCTAGAAACAGTTGTTTTTCTGGTACTAAAGACCAGACGAGACGGATACCACTTGGCTTTCCCTGAATTCTAAGAAAATTACTATGAAAATTGCAAAAGTACCGTACGATTTGAATCCCTGATAGTTTACAAGTCAAGCTTTACCTTTACAAGACTGATGCGAGTGATTCAAAATCTTGTTTCAGCAAAGTATAAATCGAAGGGAGTCAAAAAACAACCAGAGTTTCTTAAAAAGGTAGAGCCGTTTTGATGAAGAAAAGTTTTCTAAATAGATTAGCTTATAGACGTTAATAACTACACAAAGCGTAAAGCTTACCTGTCGAAGCAACGCTAATGTCGTTGTAGGCTTTTTCGATATCACGAATCCCCATCTTCCGGCTATCATCTTCGTTACAATTATTCTCTATCAGTGACCGATCATCCATCTGTCTTCTTAGAGCAACTTGGGCAGCCATGATTTTCCTTCTCTGACTAATCAAAATACACTTGTTACACTCGCAATCTTTCCACTTACAAAATCTTTTGTGCCCTTTCAAAGTTGTGCGAACGCCGTGATGTTTGCATCGTGCACAGAGCGGTGTCTTCTTGGTTGATTGAAGTGTCGATCCCTTTTCAACTGACATGAATAAAACGATCTTGTGTTTAAATTTGATTTAACATATAATTTAAGGTTGACTGAAACACGTTAAGCATTTTATATCGTCGCCGTTAATTTGAAGCGACCGAACTTGCCACAAATGTTGCGTTCAATGAAAGGTGAACGGCAAAAAGCTACAAAAAGGGCGCGAAATTGTGCAACCCTTTTCCCGCCAAAAATGATCCCTACCCTAGATGTAGGCCTTTCCACTAATGTTACGTACGCTCGCCTAAATATCTTTTCGGAAATTCTCAAAAAAATCTCGTAAATGACACAAAAAAATAAATTCTGGATATCTTGGAAAACCCTCTAAATATCTCTTATTTTTGTCGTGAAAATACGCTGATTTTGAATCACATAGGCCAAAATTTTCAACGTTTTGTTGCAGTAGGGGTTGAGGAAGGAGATTCAGGCACTTCGATGTTACCAGTAAATTGCTGCTTCGATTTTGCTTTTTCGATGTTACCAGCATACGCCATTATGGTAAATTACTGCTTCAGCGCTCTTAGTGATATGGAACTACATTTTTCGAGAGGGAAATTGCTGAACTGAATTGTTTCTGGTATAGAACTGAGTATTGTTTCAAGAAAATATTAAACGACCAAAACACAGGGCTAAGCCAAAAAGAGCGACGGATGTTTCTAATTTTATATATCTCTAAATTTTTTAAATATCTTAATATTTTCTAACTATCCCCCGAAAAAACATTCGGATATTTGTGGAAAGGCCTATCCCTAGATCTCCCTACTGTTACCGTGCTATAAAGTCTAATAAAAGAAAAATCTTTCTTGGTGCATTTGAAAGTTTGAAAAACAAGGCATAAATCCACGAATTTTTATTAAAAATACCATTCCAGTACTCATAGTATTATGACTAGGTTAACTACCGTATGCTACTTCACGTCAATTCTGTTTGTACACCAGCCTCTTGTCGTCTGCGCTTTCGGTATTCGCAACTTTCTATCCACGAAGACCACTGAGATTCTCGTCCATACAATTGAGTCCTCCAAACTTGATCATTGTAACTCTTTTTTGTATATAATGTTACAGAAGTATGTTACATGTTCCCGCAAATACTATTACATCACTCTAATTCCGAATGAACCTGAATGGCTTCCAGTTTTGAAACGTACTGAATTCATGATTCTATTGCTCACCTTCAAGGCTCCAACAGTCGTCTACAAACTACGTAAATTCAAGATTTGATAACGTGCTACTCGCCGTCTAGATCTCTTCTTCAGTCATCTTCTCATGGGCGGATCCAGGACTTTTCAGGGGAGAGCTGGTACCTTAGGGTTGAGGGACCCCAAAATGTTGCAATTCAAGGATTGTTCCTAATCGAAAACTGTCACACTAGAAATACAACCCATGCCACAATTAAAAAAAAAGCAGTATTTGCCTTGATTTGAGTGCTTGGTGTTATTTCTACCATAAAATTCACCATCTTTTTTCTTGTATTTTTTGGTTCTCCAAAAGATGGAGGCCGAGCCACCGTATTCACCCCCTAAATCCACCCCTCCTTCTACATTATTTCTGAATCCTGCCATATTTTAGTTCAAGGTCCTATGTTTCCAACTCTGAACTCTGCTACAGTCCTTGTCATAGCACCCGTTAATCAAATGTGAGTATACGATTAAGGCTGAGTGTGAGTAAAGTAATCAATTAAGTATCAGACGGGAAAAGTATCAGTGAAGTCTTGGCAGAGTATGGGTCAAGTATCAGTAAGACGTTGCCAAAGTGGCTGGCATACATTTCAGTCCAGCCTTCAGCATTCAGGACGTTTAAACTGGCTTACGGGTAGAATTTTTAGTAATGTTTTCCTAACCAAAATATAGTAACGTCATTTCCGACCAGAATTTTACTTCCGTCTTAATACCCCTGTTTAAAAATCTGTCGAGGTCTGTAGGTGCTGTAACTGAATGTCTTTACTTAGAGATCAATCAGCGGGTACTAGGAAACCATCACCGAATCAGTGAAAATCTTACTTTAACCTTTGGAGGGGGAAGGGGTGGATGGAACTCCGCTGCGGGTCTTTGATCCAACAAGACATATCACCCCCAACTTGTTGAACAAGATAGCTCGCTTTTTAGTTAAATATATACATGTCAAAATGTGGTTGCTATGGCAATGTTATATGACATGGTGAAACAGTTGGATCATATCATTCACAGGAGATGAATGAACAGCTACTGAAAGTTTTAGCATCACAGAGTAAATTGCCTTTTCAGAAAAACACTAAAATTTCAAGGGGGTGGCATCAACCACCCCACACTTTTAAGCCCAAGGATTAAGAATCTGGCCAATCAAATCATTTGTCTCTGGAGCTGCCTTTGCCTTATGCCCAGGTCTCGTGGAATGAGAAAGTTATGTTAAGAATATGTTCAAACATGTTCATTTAGCTTACAATGATAGGCTTTTTTACTAGCCTTGCTTGTGAGGGGGAAACCTAGAAAAAGAAAAAAATATCTACAGGAGCTCTCTATTTGGGTAAGTTGGTCAATGTTTAACATGTGAGACAGATTCCCTTCTCTTTCTGCTTGGTGAGAGATGAGGGGAACTCATCTCTCGCTGAGCTGAAAAAGAAGGGAATCTCTGTCTCACACAGCAGACAATGTTTCACAAGACAAGTAAACAGATCTTTTCTGCTTGTTGACCTTTATTAAACAGTTCCTAAAATGACCTTTTTACAATCCCTTAAATATTTTCTCCATTTGTTTTGATAGATGTCACAAGAACTAATCGGCTGGTTTGACTTCCATGGCTTGTTCAATCTGAGTCAAAGTATTATCCCACTGAACAAACTGTTTTGATAAGAGATTTATCTGTAAGAAATAATCAAGGAATGTATACCAGCAGTAAAGTCCTCTTGATCTCTAGGGGAACAATTGAATTCGGACAGTGATTTACTTTGAAATTGTCTTAAATTTTTTCAACAAATCTTAACGGCCATATAGCCAGAGCTTATCCCAGTTCCTCAACCATTAAGCAACTAGGAGTATTGCTACCTTTCCCTGGATGGGATGCTATTCCATCGCAGGGTTACCCTCCAGCATTAATTCACCAGTGCCCATTTATACGCCTGGGAGGAGAGAGCCGCTGTGAGAGTAAAGTGTCTTGGCCAACACAACACATGACCCTGGCCTGAGGTTGAACCCATTACACTTGATCCAGAATCCAGAGCACTATCCATAAGGCCACTGTCCTACCACACTCTAAGTCATGACACATATCAAAGGATACAATGTTGTTGTATGCTGTTAGAAGATTATGTAATCTTTCATCAACTCCAGTGAATTCTTCCTGTAACAGAACAAAACGTGACATCTGCCAGGTAAACTTTTAAGAATTGGTTCATGCTTAGCACGTACCTTTCAAGTTATAGATGACCTTATCTACATTTATATTTTGTTAAACATAACTGTGACAGATACTACCTTTTGCTGGATATGAAGTTCTACTAGTGGCTGTAGTTTGGCAGACCAGGTTGGCAAATCTATTTTTAAGTAAAAGTGGAGATGAGAATAAGAAACTGAAACATGTAGAAATGCAGATCAATGAGTGGGACATAAAATTTCATTTACATCTAAGTTACCACATCTTTAAGATGTTGTATGGATGGATGGATGTTGACTTTGTATCAAAATTATTTTTAGTCAAGTGGTGAAGCCAATATGGCAAAGTCAAGAATTGTATCAAAAGTTAAGAATAATAATAATTATTGCTTTCATAAATTATTTTGTAATTTGTTTCATTATTTTATGCATCGTTTCAGGCATCACAGTGTCTGTAATTTTGATTTATTTTTTTCTGTGGAAAGACACTACTCTGAATATTATTCATTCCACATGAAATGTCTGAAATAAAATCCATTTTTCAGGCATCAGAGTACCACGAGACTGCAATACAAGATTACAGTTACCAAGATACTGCCAGTAAATTGTCTAATGCTGGAAGTAAAACACTGTATAAGTCTTCACAAATTTAAAGGTGTCTAAAATTGTGGTGGGTTTAATGTCATTCAGAAGGTAGATGTGATTATGTTTTACCCCACAGGGAAGTATAGTTTGCTTTAATTACTTAGGTAGAAATCCTGTAAAAGATTATGCTTATCTAGAATAATGATTATTGCAACAAACCTTTGAGCGGTTCTGTCGTGACAACCTTTTTCAAGTCTTCAACTTGTCGAAGCTGATCTGCACATGCCATCAGCTGGCTCTCACCTAAGGAAGTCAACTAAATTTTATTGCAGGTATATCAAACTTGTTACAAAAGGACTGTTCATGTTCTAGGAAAAATTACGTGTCCATTTTTGCTTCCAGTTGTTGGATTCCAAGGAGCCACATGGCTCACGGCACATAACTTCAATTTCTGTAGAGAAAAGCGACTTGTAGTACTCCTATTCTCCAGATGGGATGCAAGTTTGTAGCATTTTAGTTAGGAGGTCTGTTATGTAACCTGTAAATATGCTGGCAGAGATTTCTATGATACGAAAATCAAACAATATCACAAATGTACTTTGTGATACTGTAACCCTAACCTGCTATAATTATGTCAGCTTTAGCATCATCTGTAAGTGAGGCATTTTCTAAGAACTCTGGTGAGAGGAATATCTCTAGCTCTTTCACTAAATAAAAATACAAAGAGTTCATAATGAGCTATTTTTTCTCCAGAATCATGTATTGGTATACATTGTCAGTCACAGTTTCCCGCTTATGGTGAGAACCAGCTTTTGACTCAACTTATAAGGTAGGTAAGGACAAACTTGTTACCAACCAGTCCACACAATAGGCTGATTTAGCAAGGGAATGGGAACGTCACTTGACGACGGCGCACGCAGTACAAATACCCAAATATGGTCAGATGACAACTGCAGGGCATGCGGAATAATCTGGATTCTGTTCTAATTAAACCATATTTGGGTGTTTGTACTGTGCGTGCCGTCGTCAAGTGACATTCCTGTTCCCTTGCTAAATCAGCCTAATAGGACTACTGGGACTTCCTCCTGCTTGAGATGCTAGTCTAATGTAACATTATCCTTTTGTCAGTAGTAATCATCACTCATGGGCAGAGAAGCCATATGAGATTTACAGGAATGCAGCTAATTGCCGCCTCGGCTCCCAGCTAATGTCTCCGGTTAAATAAGAGCTTATTGCCAGCTGACATCTTGCTAGAAGACTTGAGGTAACTTTTAAGGTTTGCAGCCAGAAAAGCTGGCTAAGATTGTTTTTGAGAGCCTGCTTAGTTTTTTCATGGCTGCATTCCTGGATACCCAAAACAAAACTGAGATTAATTTTAATGTTTAATGGATGTGATAGCAATCAGTATAAAAAATAAGTCATGTCAGTAACTTTTATAACTCATACTAGATAAACTTTGCTGATTAAGCATTGAGCATTTACCTGTAGCTTTTACATGTACTACACATGTCTTTAGACACCTCTGTGAAGTGTAGTAATTATACAACACAGTTGAACAAATGTCAGACCTTCCATAGCTGACCAGCCAATTTCTGATCACTTCAAGTAAGACACATGGCCCCTTACAAGTGGTCAACAGGTCAGACAGGTTCCTCTGAATAGCTGTTATTACAGTTATCAGTAGTTTGACATACAAACAAGGTGAAAGGGTCAATTCTGCTTTGTATTAACCGTGCCTGGTTCCAATGCCTTCTTAAACAAAGAAATATTTGACTGCAGACTCAACTGCAATAGCAGCTATTTATAATAGAGTTTCCATATAACGTGCGCTCTGATTGGCTGAAACAGCGTGCTTTATCAGAGAACAGAGCACAGGTTGATGACGGTAAGTTGGCTTCCAAAATTTTGCTTCGGAATTTTGACAAATTTGACCCAAATTAAACATCCCCTGTGACTCAGACAAACACAGTGGAAACGAGCTATTTTTCTGCAGTAAATATGGCTCACAGAGACCATTGTTAGCAACAGTAGTGTTAAAACTGTACTAAAATAACAAGTTTTGCTAGATTCCCGCCGACAAAACATGTACAGCTGTAGTGAAATAAACAAATTCTCAACCTAAACAGTGCTTCGATAAAGACATTATATTTGTTACAAAGGCAGAAATT